TAATATAAAAATAATTTTATTAATAATATATATATTATTTATATTGAAAGAAATATCTCTTTATATAAATAAATTGTAATTACCATTTTCATCTACATTGAAATCAACATAATTAAAATTATGATTCGGTGTATATAAATAATTTTTTGTATTTACTAATAATCCTGGAAGATGTAATTCACATCGTGAAAATTCTTTATCACATACTTGATCAGAAATAGAATGAAGATTAAAACGAAAAATTGAAGATCGATTTATAGGATTATAAAAAAAAGATCTATTATATACTACATGTCCATTTCCCTAAAATTAAATTTAATATAAAAAATTATAATACATTATAATAAAAATATTATTTATTATAAAAATATTACTTGAAATGGATATGGTAATGCAATAGAATATGAACTGGCATTTTTAAAATGATCTTTTGATTTATATTCAAAAATAAAAGAAGTTTCATTTTTTCGAGTAACCCAAAGTTTTTCTGGATAAATATCAGATTTAGATGTGTCATGCATCCAACTTCCATAATGATCATCCATAGTACCTTTTAAAACTGGTTTTCCTACTGCTTCTATTATACCATCTACGTAAAATTAAATAATAAAAAATGAATTTTATAGTTATCATAATATATATACATTTTAGTTATATATTTATTGAAATTATATTTTTAATGAAAATAAAAAATAAATCTATTACCTGCTAATCTTGGTGGAAGTCCACTAAAAGTAACATTTTTTAGTGGTTGAATATTTAAATATTCAGCGATATCTGTAAAAGTACATCTTAAAACAGGACAAGCAGCACAAGTTTCATGTGGTGCACAAAGTTCTTCTAAATCAACATGTTGTGGTGCTGGCTTTCCATATGTAATATATTGCTGTTTTCCTATTTTTGATTTTTCCATATTTTTTATATCATCTAAAATATCTTAATATTATTCATTTATCATTATTATTATATTATTCATTTATTTGAATTTAAAGAAATAAATAAAAGTTTATCATAAATATACTACCATTAACTATAAAAGAACCTTTAGTAGTATCAACATCATTTTTAACAACACAGTAATAGGTACCATGATCAGCTGATGTTATCTTTGTAATCTTCAAACGCATTTTAAGCTAAAAAAATTATTAAAAATAAAAATAAATATAAATATTGTTAAAATATTATTATTATATATATTTTATACTTATTTCTTACTTTATACATGTCTTTTCTATCATGAATTTCAAATCTGTATTTGTCGGACATTTTAAGACGACGACCATCTTCACGTTCCCAATAAGTAATTGGTTCTGGAAATGCCTCAACTTCGCATTCTAAAACTGCAATGCTTTGACTACGTACATGAATCATTTGATTACGTATTCGAATAAAAGGAGAAACTGAAAAATAATTTTTCTTTATTTCTTACTACAATAAATAAATAAATAAAATATACAAACACGTATATAAAAAATTTATATATTTAAATATTTACATTTAACTTGAAGTTTAAATTTTTTAAATGCTCTAGGTGGAACTCCATTATCAGCGACACAAGTATACTCTCCCATATGTTCTCGATTAACTATGCTGATATTAAATGTATGTCCAATTATAGAAGTCACTATTTAATAAATTACATATTTATTATATAAAACAACATTTATAATAATTTAATTATCATTATAATAAATAAATAAATAGATATTAGTAAAATTCATAATTTTACTAATAAAAATATTATTAATTATTAATGTAATTAAAATTTTACCATGCCAAGATCCTATAGGAATGACAATACCATCACTTCTAAACCATTGAACAACAGGTTCAGGTTTACCACTTGCTGCACATTTTAATCGCAAATTTGTCCCTTCATAAACAGAAATTAATCCAGTAGAATTTAATGTTACAGGTAACATTCGATCATCTAAAAAATTTTATAAAATATAAATTTTACAAAAATGTAAAAAGCAAATTTTGAAAATATAATTATTGAAAGATAAAAAAAATATTTACCCAATATAGAAGGAGGAATTAATAAATCATCTGTATTATAATTATTCATGTTCACCTTCCAGGCTGTTATCCCTGGTTTGCCATCTTGTCCTGGTAAGCCTGGTCTACCAGGAGGACCCATTTCTCCTAAAGTTGTTCACATCATCAACGTATCTTTTTTCATCCATCCGTGCAATTAGAGCGAATTTAAAATAAGATAAAGTTACCACGCGGTCCAGGTGGTCCTTGTGGTCCCATTTGACCTGGCCTTCCTAAGAAGAAAATATATTATAAAATATATATGATATATAACATATGAAATATCTTTAGAACATATAAATATATAATAGCTAATATATAAAAGATCTTAGATAAAAAATGCATACCATCTGTACCATTACGTCCAGGCCGACCAGGAGATCCATTTAATCCTGGTTTACCATTTATTCCAGGTAATCCATCTAAACCACTACGTCCAGGAATTCCATCAAGACCAGGTTCTCCCGGGATTCCATCTCTTCCATCAAAGCCAGAAGGTCCTATATCACCTTTTGATCCACGAGGACCAGAAGGACCAGTCAAACCAGGTGATCCTTTTGGACCTTGTAATCCAGAAATACCTGGTTCTCCAGGAGCACCTGGACTTCCTGGTGCTCCTGGTAATCCTGGTGGACAGTATTTCATTGATGATCGACAAAAATTTTCAATTGCATCAAGCTAAAAAACAATATCTATAATTAAAATTTTTATATTATTAATTTTTTAATTATTAAGAAAAAACGAATATTTAACCTGTACACGAGTATCTGCATTTAACCATACCCAATCATGTCCGACAGGAGTAATTGGAGAAGATGCTGACTTTGCTATGGGAGATGAAGTTACTTTTTTAGATTCTTTTAATGTATCTTTTTCTTGCCAAATCTAAAATATAAAATAAAAATATAAATATAAAGTATAATTTTTAATATGATATATATATTCATATATACTCTGGATGTATCTGAAACTTTATTATCTTCTGTCACAGGTAATGCACTACTTCGTTTTCTTCGTATCAATTTTTCACTTTCTAAAAAGTCTTGTTTTTGCATAATAAGAACATTTGTTTCCACATGAGCCACATAAGTATAAAGATAGATAGATGTTAAAAATTGTACTAAAAATTGAATTAAAATAAGAAACAGAAGACTCCATGGTTGCAATATCCAATGAGTAGATTTCATAGAAGTTTTCTTTTCCATAATTATATGTTATATTGTTAGAAACCTTTAAAAATTATTTATTTATCACTTTTAATAATAAAAGATATTATATTTAACTTATCAAAACTACGGACTTCTGAAGAGACTTATATCCGTATATCAAACAAATTAGAAAGAAGGGGAGAGCAAACAGATTCAACTTGTCTGATTGGTTACTATTAAGTAATTTAATAGAGCACTAAATTTCTCTTAGATACAATTTTCATTCATTTGAGAGTTTTAAACTAGCAAAATAATATTTATTTAATACTTTATAATTATTAAATACTTAAGTATGTAATGATAAATATATCGTTTATTTATATAATAAACATAATAACAAATTAAATACATATAAAAAAAATACTCATCTTGCAATCACTTCAGTTTAAACTAATGAACCTAGACTTTTTATTAATGATCAGAGATCAGTCATCATTCATCATTCACTATCACAGCCGACAAGCAATGATATTTTGATAATTACGCATGCGCGATTACATATGTATATTTACATATATAAGTAAGAATTCTTTTTATTAAAAGAAACAAATATATAACCAAATAATTTTTACTTTTATATTACATAGCGAAAAATTTAAAGCAATTAAATTCTGAATATATATATTAATGCTTTAATTTTATTAAAAATTTAATACATTTTTTAAGAAGTTATGATAATAATATTTATATGAAATAAATAATTACTTTTATTTTAAATATAAAACAAAGTATCAATATTTCAGATTTATATACAGTAACTCTCAAAAATATTCGGACATTAATGTGGAATGCTTAATTTTAACCATCTATATCTTTGTTAATTATAAAAGAAACGAATTCAAATTTGTTTTTGATAGAATATTTATTATATTTTACAAATATATGAATATAAAAAAAATCAAATTTTTTATTTTTGTTATTTATATATTATATAAATAACAATTATAAAATTATTATAAAATTGTATGTTATATATTTTTAAAATATTTTATGTAGATACTGAAAAATGAAAATCTGTTAATTTATTATCTAAGCATTATAAACAAAAAAAAAAACATTTTTAAAATGAAATTGTAAACTTAAGTTATCAAATTATTAAAATAATGAATTCTATACAGTTGTATAAATATTCTTAAGTTTCATTCTTCAAAAATTGAATTATTGAATGGATAAACAATATACATTTAAAAAAAATAGATATGTTTAAAATAGAAATAAAATATATAATACATTGTAATAAAAAATAATTGTTAATATCTTAGATTGCTTAATGTATTATAGAATCAAGAAGATATCAAAATCAATATTTAATTTTTTAAAAAAATTAATCAAAAATTTTTTTATATCTAAATATTTTTGTGATATGAAAAACAATTATGATTTCATTTAATTTTTAATATTTTATTATATTTAGTTAAATAAATTACATATATTTGTAAAGTATAATAAAAATACTCTATTGAAAAAAATAATTTTGAATTCATTTTTTCTATATTTAACAAAAATATAAATCATTAAAATGAAATATTCTATGTTAGTATCAAAATATTTTTAAGAATCACTACAAATACAAATATAATAATATTAAAATTATTCTTTTAATTTTCCTCACAACTTTTTTCATTAAGTAACATTATTTCTATATCATTATCACTGCTTTTTGTTTTTATTTCCACATTGTAAGTATTTGCCTACAAAATATATAAGAATTATTAGAATATAAATTAAATTCTAGAATATAAATAGTCTATAATGAAAATAAAAATACCAATTGTAATGAAGCTAAGAAATATCTAGCTACTTCATAAGCAGGTTTGTCTTGAACAATAGTATCAAAATTAACTGTTTTTTGTTCTAATGTTTGTAATTCTTCTATTATACGTGATGAATAATCATGAATTCGAAATGTAGGTCTTGTTTCAACTTCTGATAATTTTGGTTGTAAAGAGGCATGCCATTTTGCTACAGTTTGATCTAATTCTGTTGTAACATTAGATTCTTCAAAAATTTCTTTCATTTTATGCTCAATTAATGTTTGATAATCTGGTAAAGAATAGGACAAATTAATGTCCGATATTGAAGTTTCACACCAATTATTACTTGAATCAGGAGATTTTATAGAAGTATCAAGTGAATTTTGATAAATTATTGAATGTAATACATTATCTGTAGGTGTAGAACTTCTACTTGTCATATTTTCTGTATTATTTTCAATTGAATTATTTTGATTTTGGGACATACGAAAATCCAATAAATCAGTAGCATTTGTTACAGCTTCATATCGAAAATTAATATTTTCTCTTTCTGTACCATTTAAACATTCATCAAAATTTTTCATAAAATCTTCTATTTCCTCTGTCAACAAAATACACTTTTTTATATATAGTAATTTTAAAAGCACAAATTATTTTAATATAACATACGTTTTTGTAAATGTTTAAATTTCTGTTTCATTTGTAAAGTAGTATTTTTCTTTGTAAGTAATTTTGTTTCACGCAAAACCAATTTTGTTAAACATTCGCGTTCGCATAATTTTGATGTAAATTTACGTTTTTTCTAAAATAAATAGATATATAAATATATATAAATAAATATTCAAAATTTTAAAACAAAATATGAAAATTGATCAATACATACAGAACCAAATTTTGTTTCTAAGAATGAAATATAATCTGGAAGTTTTAAAATAGGTGAATTATCACAAAAAACATGTTTTATTCCTTGAATAAGTGGCATTGGCTTCCAATCACATTCATTTATATCATCTACAGAACATATAGACATTTTTGTTGTTTGATTCCTAATAAAAATATTAATATTTTCATTGATTTAATATCATGAATTATAAAATTAATAAAATAGTTTTCTAAGAGGTACCCTCTTTTCCATGTATTAGGTAATTCTTCTTTCCATCTTACATTATCCAAATCATTTAATTCGAAAATTTCATCCTCTTTAAAAATATTTATTTCTTTATTATATTTTATTTGATCATTACTTTCAAGTTGTATATGTTTAACATTATTTTGATTATCCTTTTTTATTTGATTCACTTGTACAGAATCTTCAGTTTGGGATTGTTTTTTAATTTGATTCATTTCTTTGAAATTGTGAATTGAAGTCTTTTTATCACTATGATCTTGTATTATAGTTTGTTCAATATCTTGTTTCTTTGATTCATTTTTTTTAGTAATAGTTTGTTTTAAATTACTATTAGTAAATGAACTTTCACAATTATTATTTATCACATTTTCTTCGCTTATTTGTAATTCATTTATTGATAAATCATTTTCCATTGATGAAGAATTTTGTTCATCTTCAAATTCATTATGAATAGATCCATTATCATTTAATGAAGTACTTGTTGTATATTCTGAAGTTCTAATATCAGAAATTTTTGGTTCTGAATATGATAACAATAAATTTTTTTCTTTATAAGAATCAAGTATACAAGTAAAATCATATGGTGTTAATTCATCCACTAACATTCCATTTGTATTTATAGATTGATTACATCTTAAAATTATAAGTAAGATATTATATTATATTATAAAAAATTAATTATAATAAATTAAATAAAAGAAAATTACCGAAAATCATATTTTTTTCCAATAACTTCTCCTAAAACATCATATACTTGAATAGGAATACATAATTGAGTTACACCATTTTCTAATTGTGTAAATCGATGACTTAATAATTTAATTTTTTTTTCTTGAAAATGATGTTTCTTGTTAATATGTTTTCCAATATCTTTTTCTAAATCAATAATTATAAAATTTTTAAAATCAATGTAAGCTTTTTTTAAAATTTTTTTCTCTTTACACATAGATTTTTTTATTTCTTCTTCTCTAACAAAAAAATAAAAAAATTATTGATTATAGTATATATAGTATGATTAAATTTAAAATAAATAATTACTCATAGTTAAAAAATGTTTGTTTTAAAACTTCTGTCTCATTAAGTAAACGTTCAATTCTTCGTACATATACATTAGTTGAATTTTGAAGAACAAGTGCTGCTTCTCCAAAGTTAATGTTACATGGTTCTTCTAATAAAGCATAGTATTCCTCCAAGATCTAAAATAATAAATAATATTTTATTTTATATTTAATTATAATAAATTTAATATCATAATATACCTGAGATAATGGAAATTTCCAATCAGCAAGATCCTTGGCTGGTTTCATAAGTTGTATACTAATATCTTGTAATGTAACCATTTTATAAATTGTAACTAATTTAATTTCTTATATTTTAACAAAACTGAATATATATAAATATTTTCTCCTATTTTGTAATAAATAATAATGATTAGGATTAAGTGAAAAATTATGAAACATTTATATGAAATGAAATCATTAAATCTTATTATTTAATAGGAAATACATAAATTACTTAAGTTTTATACATATTTTTTTAATATTTAGTATTTATCTAGAATAGTTTAGACATAAATCATAAATTATAAAAATAATAGAGTATGAATCATACTGAATTATTTAAAGTTAGTTATTTTTTATAAATCTTATAAATATTTTTATTAACATATGTATTAAAATAATAATTAAAATTTAAATCTACGATCTAAAAAAAATTTATATTAATATTTTAAATATTTTTATTTAAAATAGTAAAAACATTTAATTATTGCAAAAAAAAAAAATAAAATTTTATCTAGTATTTCATATATATTAGATATTGTATTTTTACATTTAAAATTTCTAATCTATCATATTGAATTCAATTAAAAAGTAAAAAAAAAGATAAAACTTTTTAATTAAATTAAAATTTTAATTTAATTAAAATTTAAAATAT